GCCGCATTACAAGAGAAGCCGAGCCAGACACAGGACAGGGCTGGCTTGTTTTTTAAACCGGTATTTTCTTCTTAGGCTATTGGACCTGAAAAAATTCAGAATTTCTGAAAAGTCCAGGATCCAAATACCATACCAGTATTGGGATCTGGGATTTTTTTTCAGAAATACCAATTTATTTTCAGGCCCAGTAAGACCCGAACTGAAAAATACCAAATAAAAAAAATTGTGCACCTCTAATGTGCTTGCTCTCTCTCACGTGCATACACACACAAGAAACATGCCGCAAATGGTTCTTTAAGAGAGGCTAGGGTTGCCAGCATCAGGTTGGGAAATTCCTGGAGAGTTTGGAGTGGAGTTTATAGGTGGAAATGTGCTGTTGGGGCTTTTAATTGCGTGGAGGTAACTAAGATCATAGCCTCTGTTAAAGGGACACAACATTCTTCTCCCTGCAGTTTCCAACAGTACGATCTACTGAACCCTAGAGTGATATGCTAAGCACTAGAAAATCACACTTTCTCCCCATTTAATACATACAGGGTACAGTCAGATGGGCTGTTTAGTCTGCTTTCGACCTGCCTCAGAAATGGATTTTATCTGCGCGATCACATGGTCAACATCTGCCTCCCGTCTCCAGCCATCGCTTTCTGGCTCAAAACTGCTTTAACCTGGAGTATTTTGATACCAGGTCCCCAAGTGGTGTTTTCCTGATTCTCCGGTTCCAGCCGCATTTCCCCCCGTGTGATTGCTCTTCCGGTGTCGAGCTACTTCCGGTTAAAACCCCCTCCCCGCTCGAAAGCTGCCCGAGGCTTCCGCTTTTCGCCCACCATTTTGAAAAAAGTGTTGGCAGTGTGCGCATAGGCGGAACTCCGCCAACGCGTTATTAGAAGCAATGTTTAAATGGTGCCTAGTTTTAGCCTTTAGACGAGTTCGGGATCTCACGGAGGCCATTTTCGGGGTAAACGTTTAAAGGGAAGTGTTCCTTTAAAGTTTAAAGGGAAGTGTTACAGTAGTCGGGTTAAAGTGGAAATTGCTGTTCTGTGCATGCATGAAAATTTTAGTTCTACAGATACCTGTGCGTATGCCCAAACTGAGAGAGAGAAAAACCGGGAACGGTGGGGAGCGATGTGGCTGCGCAGCGATCCGGGGCAAGGAGGTAGCAAGGAGGTGATTGTGATCGCGATTCTTCAGGTTAAAAAAGACCGCATCAGGGCCGGAGGAACTTGAACTGCTCCCAGCGCGCCATCTGACCGCACCCAGAGGCTGAGTTCAGACTGGCAGTTTGAAGCGGGAGGGAGTCGTGGCAAAAAAGAGCTGGAACAAACTGTTCACACTGCAGCGACTGATGTGGGAGCATACCGGGAGGAGGTGCAAGGGAGCGTTCACACCGTTGTCCCGGAGGCACGGCTGTAAGGAGATATCTGAAGATATGCGCTTATGCACATGAGCGCATGAGCACATAAGCGCACAAGAAAAATGCGGCTTTTGGTGATCACACTTTGTTGATGCGGAATGGATGTGGGATAATCGTGCTTTCCAGGGTTTGCTACCACTTTCACCAGGTATCTTTTAAACTCGGGAGCGAAGCACTATGAGACGGGTTGAGTATGGGTGGGGAACACCTGTCAGATGTGCCTGTGTGACCGGCCCCTTTAATCCGGTTGTGGAACGTTTCTGAAACATGTGTATATTGGGGCAAACTGCCAGTCTGAACTCAGCTACAAATACACCGAGGCAGAGAAAGGTAACAATAGGTTAAGTTTTCTTTATACAGGTGCTTGATAGCTTTGAAAAGCAAAACCACTGTGTTCCGGATCATATTATGGTCTCCAGGGGAGAAGTTAAACATGTAAACATATATTAAGTGTTGTACATGTTTTGCCACCGCTGAGCTCTTATCTCAAGGGCAGTTCTCGGGAGAGCTCTCTCAGCCCCACCTACATCACAGAGTGTCTGTTGTGGGAAGGGGAAGGGGAAGGAGTTTGTAAGCCGCTCTGAGACTCCAAGTGAATGGCGGGGAATAAATCCAATCTCTTCTTCTCTTCTATACAGAAGAAGAAAAAGAAGAAGAGATTGGATTTATACCCCGCCCCTCACTTGGAGTCTCAGAGCTGGGGAAAGGGGATTTGAGAAATGTTTGGTTTGGTTTAACTTGGTAGAGGTCTATGAATTCATTCTTGGCCCTGCAATGGTTTAGTTAAACAGAGTGCAGTTACAGCAATTATTGCTTCTGTATTAATACTAATATGGAATTGTATTACTATATCAAGTATGCATAAGCAAATTATGCAACGTATGTCTTCGCATTAATGCTCACATTTGGGATGGAGAAACTTAAGGTCCCTCTGCCTTATGAGATCAGCACAAGGCAGGGATCTAGAACAAAAAACCCAAGAAGCTTACCTTCATCATGGTTCTGTAAGGCCTCTTCAGATCCATGAGGTGGAGGTTTCCAATGAGTGGTAATGGGTGTGGCCCTGGTGGGAAATTTTTGCCACTGCTTTTCCAGAAATCACTCCTTTTCCAAACGAATGCAAGTGTAAGGGCAAATACCAACAACACAGAAATAGGATCCATCCAATCCATTTTGTGCTAACAAGAAGTCGCTTGTAGAGGTTACAGAAAATTTTGCAATGGATTTTGATCAAGGGCTGTTGCTCTCCCCTGGAATGAGCCGCACAATTTTCTTTATATAGACACAGCCCAGTACTAGCTCTCACCAATCGTCCAACCCATGCCCTTTATAAGATACATTCTCCAGTTTTCTGTGTGCTTGAGCTATAAAAACCCTGTGTTGGAATGGGTGGTGTCTAATTCATCAAATGGAAACTTGACAGGACGGATCTAAACTCTCTTGACTCCAGACTGGAAGTTCAATGCCTTATTATCTGGAAGGCTAAGCTAGTTAATTATCTACTGGGTCCAAAGAGAAAGGTTGCCAGTGAATAGTTGGGTTGACTCCTGAACTATTTCTTATTGAGAAGTTTATGATAGTTGAACATGACCTTCTGAACTGCTTTCCCATTGAATTAATGACAAATATTTTGAAACAAGTGTAGGACATTTGCTTCATTTCAGCCTGTCTAGATATCAGGGATGGAAAGGGGGAGAGATGTGCAATTTTTTTTTTTTTGTATTGCTAATTCAGTCACCTCCGGAGTTGTGTGGTGCACACAAAAGTTTAAAAGAAATGGCTCACTGTTAGGTCATTTTAATGCTAATATCCTGTATCTTTGTTATTGATACTGCACATCCTTTTCAAAAATATATACTCATTTATTTCAAATTATTTCAGATAACTAATGCACAATGCATTACTTGGTAGAGAGGAACACCAACATGGTCCGACATACCTGAGGGACCGCATTTCCCCACATATTCCCCAAAGAAATATCCTGTTGGTGTTCCTCTCCACCAAGTAATGCATTGTGCAATAGTTATCTGAAATAATTTGAAATAAATGAGTAAATATTTTTAAAAAGGATGTGCAGTATCAATAACAAAGATATTAGCCTTGGAGAGCGCGCACATCAGAAGACTCCCGTGGAGGTTCAGGACTCTCCCCGCTTTTTCATATCTACGACTTGGCAACCCTAATGTTATTCGGCAGAGAGTTCTACCAGGTCGAGGCCCTGGCCCTGGTCGAGGACAGCCAGACCTCCCTAGGGATCACCAGCAATTTGTTACCAGCCAATCTCAGCATTCTTCTGGGGACATATTGGAGGAGACGCTCCCAAATGTATTGTGGGTCCCTGACCATTCAAAGCCTTAAAAGTCAACACTAACGTCTTGAACCTGACTCGGTACTCTGAGATAAGATATGTGAAGGGACCTGAAAAGCACATGGGGCGGGGGGAACAGTCGTGTCATATCCTGTCCCTACAAACTGAATAGGGGGCAGCCTGTGCTGTACAAGGTCTATCAAGCTGATGCATGCAACCCAACACAAGTTCTCTGGTGGCCCTTCATAGTTACAGAGTACATAACCAGCAAGTCTGTTTTGAAATGATTAAAGGTGCCTAAAGGGAGGGAAGGTGCCATGGTATAGCCCAGGGTGTCAAACATGCGGCCCGGGGGCTGGATCAGGCCCCCTGGAGGGCTTCTATCAGGCCCGCAGTGGAACTGGCTGTCTTCTGCTTCTTTGTCCAGTTCTGCTGCTGCTGCGTCATCGTAGGTTTGCAGCTTACAGATACACACAGCTGAACAGCATACTCAAGATTGCAACAGCACAGACATTTTGATGCTATAATTCAGAGCAACTGAGCCCGCTTGCAGGAACGGCGGGGTATAAATGTAATGAAAATTAATAAATAAATAAATGGTGGGGGATGAGAGGATATCAGCCATAATTCTGGTTTTTCAAAATTTGGCCTTACCGCTTACAACCTGGAAGGTGTGAGAGTGACTGGGATTGAGAGAGTTGGATTAATTCCAGGATTCATGACAAATACGTGAGTCGATTTTAATAGAAAAGTTAATATTAACAAATCAGTTCCATGGTTGTTTCCATTGGTTCCAGTGGGAAATTGATTTCCGGATCAATTCATCCACACAGCTCCATTCTGGTTCTGTTTCCTGGACACGCTAATCTGGTACGGAACGTTGGGAACTGGCTTCCAGAAAGATTCTCACTGGCCCAGCACCGTGAACCTGCCGGCCGGTGGTTTGTGCTGCCTTCTATGAATAGCACTTTCTTATGTATAGGATGTATGCATTTAAATTCTCCTACACGTGCGCGGGCACACACACAGTTACTATATTTTTAGATGGCGACTTATGAGAAAAATATAAAGTCCTAGATACTGTGAACCTAAAACAAGTAATAGCTTTTTACACACATACCCATAACATGATTCTTCTTCTGTACATTTTCACCGAGTTCCATTTTGTGGGCTCTCACGAGGTTGCCAGCCTTTCTCTGGCAGTGGGCAGGAGGTTGGGGGGGGGGGCAGAAAAAAACTGCTGAAATCTGTGTTGCTCAACATGACAACATACCTTCTCGGTGAAGGCCAAGATGTGTTATAACCCACCACTCTAGGGATTTCTCTGACGTAAGGACCATAGATTGGTGGAATTCCTAGAGTGCCACTTGACATATTTGATGGCAGTTCTGGGTATTTATCAGAACTGACAGCGCATTGAGCAATACCAGTCCTGCCCATCCATTTTCTCTGCTGCTTCAGTTAATGTTGATGGGGAATGTGGGAGAGCTGATGCAGTTTTTCGTGCCAATAGTGGGCAAATGGCACCTCTAGCGTTTCCGTTTTAGTGCAGATGGAAACATTTTTAGTGTATCAAGTTAGGGCATTACTTCTTAGCGGTTTTTACAGATTTTTATTCACATGGCAGTGTTTGGGAAACAATTTGCTATCATTTCAAAAATCTTTCCATATTTTTGAAATTTTTTGAATTTTTTTGAATTTCTTTGAAATTTTTGAATTTTTTGAATTTTTTGAAATTTTGAAAATTGAAACAGAAATTAAGTTCACTTACATTAACTGCAGCATCAAGGTAGGCCTACAGCCCATGCTGATACACCCCAGGTGTCCCTTTCCCGTCGCACAAAGGAGAAGAAGGAGATGGAGGAAAAGAAAAATAACCTATGGCAATCTTTTTCTAGTTTAATATAAAAGGTACAGAAGTAAAGGCAAAGTCATATACTGGTGAATTATTATTATTTTATTATGACTAACGCTGACAACTTTAATATGCACAGTGTTTGATAATCGTAATGACAAATACATAACACTATCAACAAGGGTCATTAATCTGCTTATGATAAGACTAGAAAGAAGGAAAAGAGAGATGTGCCCTCAAAGCTGGTGGCTAAGCAATGGTGTGATTGCAAGCCAAATGGATCAATGAATGTTCAGGAGGAACTCCTTCTCCCTGCAGAAACACCCCACTGGATCAAAGCCAGTATCTTTCATTTTCCATATCTCTTTCTTAACCACAAAAATTGTTTCACCAAGAAATCAGTTGCGTTTGCTTACTCATTCAGTAAATCGTGGTCTTTGTTTTATATATCCTTCTCTGACTTGAGGCAGTACAATTGCTCAAACGAACTCCAGAATTAGCAGAATGGGTAAGAAAACCAAGTGGACTTTCATGTTTGTGAAGCAGGTTTCAGGTGTCAAACCCAACACTAGTGATATTTATTTTGTCTTTATACCTGGCAGTGTTAGAAGGATCTCACTTGGAAGGATACGATCACTGTAACTCACTTTGGTTCTTTTTGGAGAGTGAAAGATATCTGCAGTGTGTCAATACAAGAAATCAGACGCAGAAACATGGTTGTTGTTTTCTCTATATAGCAACCAATTAAAGAAGCAAAGCCCAAATTTTGTAGTAAGGTATGTCTCTGAGCTAGCTTGTAGGGGTTCCACAGATAGGTATATGAAACACAAAGGTTTGTGACAAAACATAGTCCAGTTCTGCTGAATCTGAAATATCCTTGTTAGGCAAAAAGTTGCAGAAGAGGAGGATGGTGTGCAGAAGGAGGCAAAGCATGGTTGGATGTTAAGAACGTGCCAAAGCACATAAATTGAAGGGCATCGGAGGGGTAGTAAACCCAACTGCAGGGGTGAGGTCCAGGTCTTCTTTAGACATCCCAGGGACTGGCTGGAATGTGAATCTCTGCAGGAGAGTCACAAAGAAGAGGAAGAGCTCCATTTTGGCCAGGGTTTCACCAGCACACATTCGTCGACCTTTGACAATGCAGAAGTGACAGGGAAGCCCTGTTATTTAAACTTGTTTATAAAGCTTTATGCTCTTTTCCCTGTTGAATGATGGCCAGAGTAATTTACTATAAATAGATAAAATTAGACATTAAGGCAGACTAATGTACATAGTACCAGAATGATTAACGTTACTGAGGAAGAATGGTAATCTTGAAAGAAAATTTGAGAAATGGCCACCTGGGATGGTGTTCTTCTAAGTTAGTGGATTTGGGAGTGTGATCTGTTAATTAAACCCACAGTGATCAATCTAAAAGGAGTTACCTGCAGAGAAGGGCAGGAAGGCATCTCTCTTGACAAACGTTCCTTCGGAATCAAGGAAGTGCTCCGGATAGAATTTAAGTGGCTTCTCCCACTCAGATTCATCGTACAGCACAGAGTACAGTAATGGAATGATATGCGTTCCCTGAAAAGGCAAAGCGATGAGTTATTGAAGAAAATGAAGATCGCCCATCAAGTACATAGCTATCCTATAGAAAAAGAAAATGCCATATTACAAACAGAGTTACATGAAAATTCAACTGGAATGAAAGCAAAATAAAAAATCGACTTAAATGTTTATTTGCACACTTATATATCTAAAATTCTAGCTTATGTGTAATTTTAGTCTTTTAAATTGTTATATCAATAAAGATTTTTTTCTGTGAGTGCAGTTACCATGAGAAGACCGGTGCTTGCACCTGGGCAAGGGCAGGCTTTTGCCCACCCCCCCCATTCTTGAATGGAATCAGGGGGAGCGGCAGAGCCTATAGGGGCCCAGCGCAGGAGCGCAGGCCTATCAGGAAAGGACTGGCTGGCCAGAGTAGGTGATACTCACAAGGTAGCGGCCATTCCAGCCGTGGAAAAGCT